AATTAAGTCCCCAAATCAGTAACTAAAGTGATTAAGTCACACTCTTACATATCAAGTCATTATAACTTCAAGATACTATTATGTTTCATTGAAACACAAATGTAAGAAAAATAAATTGCTAAGTAATCTCTTTCACTTCACTTACTCATTAGGCCAATGCTCAACTAAGTTCATAAATACATATTGAAAAATAGGCAACAATCAAAGTGCCAGCTAACAATGATAAAAATAAGTGAATCGAAAACAACAACAACAGTATTAAAAATCACACAAAAAATTCATTTTAAAAATGAATGTTTTACAGAAAACCTCTGTTATGTATTTTTCATGTCGAAAGCTCTATACCACAAAAAGAACTACTAAAATGGACGACGATCGAGAAAACGACGAAGTTATTTCTAGCATTAAGAAAATTTAAAATTAATTTAAAGCATTAAATCAAAATTAAAATAATAGATATTGTTCTAAATTTTATATATTATTTCTTTGCTTCATCAAGTAAAAAATTTATCTTGTGAACTAGTAAAAAGTATCTTCAATTTTTCATTTGCTTGCACTCGCAAAAGTTTTAAGAAACATCAAAAAAAAAGTATAAATAGTTTCAATTTGAAACTTTCATGGTGTTTATATCCTTTGAAGTACATAATGATTTAAAATAAATCCATTTGCACCATAAAGCTTCTTAGTAATGTTTTATTTATTATTCTAGCCAATAAGAATAAAAATAAGGAAAAGTTCAATATAAATTTTATATATTTCTTAGTGTCAACTATTTGCAATGTCCTTTTTCACACTTTCGATAAGGAAAACAAACTAAAACTGGGTTCCTTCATCCCGTTGCACAATTCCATTTCAAATGACAAAAAAGTTTGTTTACAAAGTGAAAATGGATGGGAAGTAACCGATAGGATACAAAAGCGATTTTCGATAGTAGCGCACCATTGCACATCTGTCCTGCAGTTTGCGGTACTCTACTTTACATTGTCTGTGATCGTAAATGTGACAAAAAATTAAATTAAAAGTCGTTTGGAACTATTTTTCAAACTCCTAGCGGTTGAATATGTGCCACCAATTTGCGGTTTAACGCCATCAACACATTTTCTACATAAACCTCAATGTTTTCGTTTCCTATTGTGTGGCGTAGTGTCCTAGCTGATTATTAAGTTATAGCCTGCATAACAATTACCGGAACTTCTTCTATTGCTTACATCCTTTCCACCATCAAAATATATAAATTTTTTGTTGGTTCGTTAAATTGCTTTATAAGTTGACTATGGACGCAATGAGGTCAACGAAACGGAATTGTAAAAACAAAAACAATGAGCCAATCTGGCAACTATAGTACAGAGCAATGAAAAACTACAGTTTTTCCGCTGGACATGACTTGTTTATATTTCATTTTATTTTCTAAAATTTATATATTTTTAGTGCGACTAAAAGTTACTTGAGCCAGTGGCAAAATCCAGTATCGAAACGGTTAACTCAAGTGCACATAAGTGCTTTAATATTTGCAAACAACACCCTGGCAGCACATATCCTTGAAATATTTATTATTTAAAAGCAGTTTAAAGACTTTAATAGCATAATTTTATGTTATTAATTTTTGAAAAAATTTTTAACTTATTTTAAATTGGTAATATAATTGTGCAGAAGAAGATAATATTATATATTTTGTACACTCAGAAAAATAATTTGGTTGATTTAATCAGATTTTAAGTAGATTTCAGGTCAAATTATTCTTACTCAACGCATTAGATTAGCTCAACCAAACCACATCTTGGTTTTTATATCTTCTACACCACATAAGCCATAACTTTTCTAACAAAAAGATCAGGTTAATTTACATAGTAAGTGGTTAGAGAATATGTTTCTGAGTGGAGTTTTAAATATTAAAATTCAATAAGTTAAGTTAGATAACTTTCTTGATTTAATCAAAGCACAAAGTATTTTGCCTGTTTGACGCAGATTAGCCTAATTATTGAAGAGTACCTGATTACTGGCTATAGACACCCAGAAAGAAGGAAGGAGATTGAAGCTTAAGGCTTAAGCCTAACATATACCAATATTAATGTAACGGCGTTTAATAAGATAAAACTTTTTTAAATTACTGAAATTATTTAAAATACACAACAGCTTTTCGTTCTTCCTTACGAATTAAATTTCTGTCTATTTGCTAGCTTGACAAGGTCAAAAACCGTTGTCATGGCTTTGCTGACTTAGTGCAAAGCAGGGATACTCTGTAACATCAATCAGTTTCCTCTCACCAGTTCGAAGAGATCTGAAATTGCTGTAATAGCATTGCTGACTTAGTGTAAAATAGTTGTGATTACAAGATTCATCTACTTCTAGACGCAATAAGACTGTTACATCAAACAATTTCTTCTTATTGATATGGTAGTGAGGTTCAAGATGAAATGTCAGATAGTACCATTCCAGTATCAGTTTAATTTTGCTGAGATAATAATCTTACTTGTAATTACGATTCTTAATTTAGCAGCTATATTTGTGCCATGTGTTGCATAGGTACCTTCTGCTCAAAAAGTTTCCGTATTTTGTTGTTTGTTAACTACTCCTTAAAAAATAGACCCTTTTCAAAAAATTTTTTGTACACCCATTCTTGACATATGGTACAAATTTGAGTGCCATCTGTCAATTGGTTTGTTTACAGTTGCTGTTAATATGAGACTACCTCAAGTGCATTTAGCGATTTTTACTATGGAAAATTCTTGTTGTACGCGATTTTTTGACCGAACACGGCACCACTGTCATCGCTCAGGCACCATATTTACCAGATCTGCATCCGTTCGACTTTTTCCTGTTCCCGAAACTCAAATTGCCCTTCGTGGTAAGCGTTTTGAAACGATTGCTTCAGAAGGAGCATATTTTGAAGGAGATAAAATAAATTTGGAATAAAATTTAAATTTTTGTGTTTTATTTACAAAATCCGAGTACTTTTTGAGCAGAAGGTATATTACTCAATCGTTAATTATAGTCTTGCTTGTGAGTTTGCTAACTCTACGATAAGGGTTCGATCAGCAGAAGTTCAACTAAGAATTTTCCAACAGCGGCGCTAAGAAAAGCACTAATTGGTATTGACACACCAACGATTATTTTTTATGATACTTAGTCAACAAAAGTCTTGAAAAATGTTTAGAAAGGTCGACGTTTTGTTTACAAGGTAATAAAATAGTTGAGTTGACTCTCAGACTAAATTGTTTATTTGACAACGATACGAGTCATGTGAATTGTAGGGAGCTCATAACAATACTTGTTATTCAATAAGAAAGTTTAAGTTAAAATCATTAATGTTTTTAAATTTTTGAAACATTGTAAAATTCTTTTTCAAAACTGTATAATATATTTTTTATATAAACATTTCTTGCAGTTGACAATTTAACAATAAAATAAAGAATAAAATAGTAACGTAACATCCATGTTTGTGAAAGCTCTGACCTTCCTTAAAGGGTGACTGTTTAAAATCAAATTCAAGAAAATAACTGACGAAAACATAGCATAAGAGAAATGCATATGAGAGGACGATATAATCTTATGCGGTAATAATATTTTGGTAACATGAAAAGAATTACTATTTTAAAGCCAGAAAAATTTCAACTTGTCAAAAACACACCACCAATAACAACTGAGTAATATAATATGAGTATGTAACTAAATAGTAACTAACTTTATTCTATCTTTTTATAAGTAAGCAGTAATTTTTTTCATTACTTTAAATGTGCTCTATAAATTGAAAGTAATATTATAACGAACCTTTTAACACCGAGCTTTAGATCGATGATTGTTGGAGAATTCAAAGTTGAGTCCTATAACAAATTAATTTGTACGGAGCAAGGAAAGACGAAGATTCCTTGGATTTCTTTCCCGTGTGAAGAATTTAGCGTCAGATATATGAAAACCTAACAGACATACTCGCTGAAGATATGTAAGTTTCCTTCTTATATTAGGCAGTAATCACTAGCCCGCTGCTCAGCTGACCAATGTACCTTATTGTTTGTATCTGAGTTGCATTCAGTTACTCTCAACATTCCTCTACATAACCGTTGTTTTCGTGATCTCATTTATGGAATATATAAGCCATCTGTCAACTTCCATTGCGCGTATACGTAATAACCCTACCTCTTCATTTGTCTGTTATCGCTCTAAATTATTGTCAATGCTTTCTGACTAGAAAATAAGCTCCATTTTCTAAAAACTAAGACTACTCAGCCTCCAAATTTCTTCTGATTACTAAGATAAGATAATTAGCACAATGATCTTTATGGTCAATGCCTGGAGGCTTTATTATTTATTTCTAAGATGTGGCTTTTGTGGGTTAAACTTCTACACTGTGACTTTGATGCTTTCCACCTACCGGGCACTAAAACAAAAAAAGGGACAAATAATGTCTGAAAATTGAATTATGCAGTAATAATAGATGGCAGCATTGTGGCACCTAGAAGTATTGGAAATATTCTGTTAATCGACAAAAACCTGAAGGAAAAATACGGACAGCCATACTTGATAACTATGAAATGGGTACTTACTTTACTTTAAAATTACTTTAAATTTTAAAAAATAAATTAATCCAGTCAGCCATTTTACAATGTATAAAGGAAAGTAAAATCAAATTATTAAACTTTTCAGTTGAAATAAAAATATTATAGAATAAGTTTCTCAAAATTTTAGGTTTTATTTATTTTTTAGTTAAAATATATGCAAATGTTAATATAATACGAGTATGCAAATGAAGTTAAAATTGCTTGGCGATTACTAAGATCTCACTTTGCAAAAAACAGCGACTATACACACACTTAATATGCAATATAAATCTTTAAAATGGTGAGTTCTTAAGATTTAGAGAAAATTTAAATTATTTAATTATTTTATTTTCACATTTGTAGTTAAATTATTTTGACGCCTTAAGGTGTAAGGTGAGTATGGCTTCTAGTGACATTTACCTAATTAATTAAAAAAATTATGTAGCTACTGTAATTTTTGAGAATTATAAAACAATTTTAAATGATTTTAATTATTTTGACAAAATTTTCTAGACTATTTAAGAAAATTAAAAGTTCGAAATTGGTTAATTAATCTGATATTCATTAGAAATTCAAGTGCGATATGAGAGACACTAATGACATTCAAAATTAAGCTCTTTATGTTTACTTAATGTGTTATTTGTTTCCTGTTTCCTAGAGTGGCAAGTAGTTTTATAGAGTTTAGCTATTTTACTGAAAGGTTTTCTTTAATATATAGAATTTATTACTTTTATTAGGAAGTGGCATGGTGGAAGCAGCTACTGTGTATGAAGCACTGATTACAATTGTTGACCTGGAACCAATTCTAATTGGTATCTGGAAGGATTGTAGTAAATATCTAATCTATTTTTTGGAATACGTTATATGATATGACCAGCACAATACTTAAAAGTGAGTTTGATTAACTGAATAATTAGTATTGAGAACTCAATTATTGAACCGTCACATATACTAAGCTGTAGGTATGGGAATATTTATTTGATATATGAAAAAATAGTTTATATTTAAAAAAGCTCAATATATTTGAACATTACACTTGCAGTTATAATAATTTTTAATATTTTTTTTATTTATTTAAAATTATATATTTCAGGTATCTGTAGTGAATGACGCGTCTGTTGAGTTTTACGGCCTATCACCAAGCGCAAAAGCTGGCGGGATATATGAAACTGGAAAAGTAATATAAAAAACCCGCATTTCAAATGAAATAATTCTTCTGAAAGAAGAGATTGTGTTTTCAAATTTTTCGTACATAAATGTTGGTTTATTCCCACCAACTATTAAATATAATTAATATAATTAAAAAAAATAACATATGTGACAAATTAGCTTTTTCATTTCTTATTGGATTATTTTGTTAACAAAATTATAGCAACGAAATCATTGAAATCTACATTATAAGTAATATGAATTTTATATTTATAAAGAAGTTGTCCGGCTCACAGTTAAATCCAAACATAATTGACGTCTTGATGGAACAATCTTAGGCTACAAATTAGTAGTAGAGCGGATGCATACCTACGTTACCTAATTTGTTGGATTTTGAGGTCGAAATACACCTATTTTGTCTTATCCCATAATCTATAATGAATTTTGAATACACATATAGTATGTGTATATTAAACGTCAGCAATGTAGTTATTTGTTCTAATACATATGTAGAACTGAAGTGCTAGAGAGCGCGGAGAGAGAGAGAGAGGAACTACACAGTTATGTTCTCTAGATATTACTCTATACATTTCTCTAATGCCAGCACCATCTCATTCAAATGTTATCCATGTTACATCTTACAATATTGGATCCTTAAATCGTCATCTTATATGATGTATTGCAAATATTTCAATGTTCACCAATAAAAAGAATTCAATATTTGGAATGCGTTGATAAAAACGTTCCCCACTGCAGTGTGGAATAATTGTAGAATGCAGATGTTATGTGAACTAAAAATACCACTTTGAAAAAAATTTGTTAATGAGTTTAAACATCCTTGTGGGAAGAACAGATGAAACTTCCGCAAAACTGACATTTATTTTATTTTTACCTTTTGTTTTCTACTTGACAAACTTTAAAATTTACTTCATTTTATCTAACGAAGTTCGCTTTAATTAAAAAAAGTAAAAAAAAAGACAAAAATTATCTGTCATTCTGTAATTCACAACTGACATGTTGTCAATTTTTATTATCCACAGTTAATTAACTCTTCAGTACTGTGAACAATACTTCTTCGTTCTGTTCATAATTATGCCACAATCCATTTTAAAAAGTTTTAATTTATTTTAAAGCCCAATAGGCTCAGTATTTTACCAGCTACTGACAGATTTTCTACAACAATTCAACATGCAATAAATCAAATTTTACAATGTGTTAAATGAGTTATTTCGTGTCTTCTCTTTTAAGGCAAATTAAAAAATGGCAAAACGGCAAAACGTCAACGTTAACAAGCAAACTTCAATTAACCACAACCGATTATAACACTTACCCGGGAATTCCGCCACTTTCCATGTGGTTAGCTAACGTAACATCATTTGACCACACATCAAATTGCCACTTAACGAGACCCAGAACACCACAATGTACACGCCCAGTGTGGATACCGACACGCATATTTACATTAACGGCCATAACCTCACGCACCAGTCTGCGGAACAAAATCCAATGGAACACAAAGCAAGTAATAATAGAATAAAATTAATGAATTTATTTTGTTTTAAAGATGTTAACGAACTTTTAAATAAACGAAAAAGTCGGCTTTAAATAACTAAAAGTATGCAACAAAAATACAACATTAAACGTTGCTACTTACGCTATGGCATCAATCATATCTAAACCCATTTCAACGGCACAATGTGCATGATCCGGCCGGGGTTCGGGTAATCCTGAGACACAATAATAACAGTCGCCAAGCAGCTTAATACGCAAACAATGATGCTCAGCAGCCAATCTATCAAATCTAGAAATCAAAAAATCTATTACAATTTTTTTCCTTTTCTCATTTGAGCTCAGCTGTATTAAAAGGGTTTCCTCTTTTCCTACTTAAAGAGGGTAAATTATGAACTTAAGGAAAAAAATAAAAAAATTGTGCATTATTGATGTGCTTGTGTTGTCGTGTATGTCATGGATTAACAAGGTTAAGATGATTTCTTGTTTACCCTTTGTCACGCTCGTCGTGAATGTATTTCGAGTCCTTAGAGTCATACGACTTATTTTTAGCACATAATTATTTAGCAGAAATTAATCCAAAAGTTGTGTTAAGTAGCTAAATTAGCATACATAAATCCAGGGTTGTTTAATGTAAATCAGTTTATCCGGAACTCACGAACTCAGCGAGTACTGGGTTATTTATTTATTTATTTTATTTTAATTTTCCTTTTTATTTTAATTAATTTTATTTAAATTTTAACAATTGCCTTTCAGCAGCGCAATTGCATACGCATTTTAAAACATTTTTTATTTATTAATATTAATTATAATTATATTCTTTCAATGACAAAAAATCTGTTAAATATATGAATGTAAGCGGATATTGCGAAACTTATAATGCGGATATTAATTCATTGGAATTGATAATGTCATGAGATTTAAGCAGCTCCATTAATATTATTTATTTAAATTATTTTGGTTTGTTTTTATATTATATTTTTATTTGCAATTTCATGACTTATTTAATGAATAAATTGCAATTTTATCTGTATTTAATTATTTCGTTTTATTTTTTTGGCTTTATTCGACTTGACTTACCTTGCAAATAGCTCATTAAGTAGTCTTACTAATTCCTCTGCAGTGCATTGATCCGAAAGACTGGTGAAACCGCAAATATCTGCAAAAAGTATGCTGAAAAGAATTAAGGTAAAGTAATTACAATTTTAAAATTATCTCAGAAAGGGTTTAACAAAGTAAGTGGAAGTTCTTCAAATAATTAATTTTAAAAAGTTTATTGCAGTTGCAATATTACAAAGTAAATAATTCATTGCACCAAAAAAGGATTGCAGCATTATCATGCAAGTCCTTTAATAAAGTTCAGGAACTTAAACTTGTGGAATTACTTGGTTTCTTTTAATGAACTAAAATAATTCACAAAGATTTCAATTTGAAAATGACAACGACAAAGTATTAAAGATTCTTTGTTCTCAGAATTGTTCAATTTTAATTAATATTGTTTTCATAATTTTAAAATTTACTCAAAGATTATATTCACTATAAAGACTATAGAGAAGTCAAAGAACTTAGTACTACGACATCAAACTTTGTAATCTATAATACAAAACCTTATTACTTTTCAATATTTACTATACCAAATACTTTTTTTATTGTTTAACTTTAAAGGACTTAAAATAATATCAAAGTGATAAAGTGTAAAAAAAACTGCAATACGCGGTGGGTTGTATAGAATTATCTTGCAATAACGTTAGAATTTATATCCGTTGACATGGATTACAGAAGTAATATGAAAATACTTTTTATCTATCAACATACAGAGCTTTCTAGAAAATAATCACTCACGTTAAATGTATCCTACTAAATTGTCTATCTAATACCCACAACTTGAACATTTTTACCAACAAAAACATTATTTATTGTATTTATTGTATTCTTTCTTTCTTCATACCCTTTACTTATCTGCACTCTTTCGTAAAAGACATATCTCAACTTATAATATTGTAAAGTAACTAAAAATAAATCAAAATCAATTAATAGTCAATTTTAGGTGGAATTGGTTGGCATGAAGTTACCAGTTATAAATTTTCAGGTCACTATTGATATCAGCAACTTTTAAATTCATATATATTATTTAGCAAAAACTGCTTAAAGGTTCATATTTCTATATTTTTAAGTTATGAAGACAGACAGATGTTTCTGAAAGTACATTTATAAATAATTTATTCTTTTCTAAGCATAGCTTTTTTATTGTTTCAAAACAATATCCAACCCAACCATATAAACAAACTATGATATACTTTTGTTATCCGCCAACCGCCATTTTATTCTTTTCTTAGTACAGGGTTGGTAAATGAGTTTTCAACTCAACAGGTTAGTTTTTTTTATTTACTGAGTATTATATTTTAACACAATAGTTGCAATCAATATTGATGTTAATATATATCTTTAATTTAAAAGAAGACGAAACCACTTCACATATACGAAATATATGACAGAATATTAAAGTATATGGAAAATGCAAAACAATTTAATCATGTCTAAAATAAAATATACAATAGTTTCGCAAATGAAAATTTTTTAATATTTTATTCAATTCAATTTTTAATAATAAATTTCACTCAATACATACGTATTTTTCATGAATAAATAATCAGACATAACTGAAACAAACGCTTCCGTACAAATTACAAAAAAGTTACGTATACGACATGAGTGTCCGTTACTACACAGCACCCAGCTGCTACACTTTAAAGCAAACGAATTTTTAATGAATTCAGTGACACCTTTGTAAAATTAATCAAAAATAAATAAGAATGGCAAAGAAAAATAGTGAAAGAAATTTCACTCAAGGAAATCAAATATCAACAGCAGATACAGTGGAAATGTTTTATCGATAATGGGATTTTGTGACTTTTTGACTTATGCTGATCCCGCTTAAGATATATGCTCTCAAAGTAATTTAATACAAAAAGCTGAAGGGAGATGTGCCAAAATAAAGGCAGCAATACAAGCAAAAGCAAATATGTGCAATAAAAAATACGAAAGGACATGAAACTTGCTATCAACAAGTTAAGTTGCCTTTAAGGATATTAAACGTGAGAGGTACCAAGCAAGAGATGATGTTTGTGCACACTTGGTGAATGGCAAACGCTACTCCAACGAGTAGTGTGAGTCTTTCAACGAAACTAAGGAAGGTAGCTTTCCAGTAAATTCGTACTTCAGTTAGAATGCATGTAGCGATAAATTTGTGTCTCTTCACTTCTCTGGCATTTTGTTTCTTGCTAATAAGAATAGGATTTATTGACTTTGCTTGTAAACAGAAGCGGCTACAGAAAGGAACAAACGCTTACCCTGACTTGTTGTGAACACATTTTCGCACTTATTTCCGTGCTCACTTTATTTGTGTCTATTAGCAGTGACTCAAACTCAAACTCAAACTCAAATTCAAAATCAAACTGAAACTGAAACTCAAGCTGGAATTCAAACTGAAACTTACCTGACGTTGTCATGTCGTTGTATATAAATCTTGTGAAATTGTGTATCTCGTGGCTGTCCTGCGATGTCATCTTTCATTTCCATGGCAACATGCCGCGGCAGCACCGATAACAAAAGACGTTCCTGTGCGTGCATATAAGGACATACAAAAAATATTTAGTATGTAAAAAAAAAAGGAATGAAAGAAAAAATATTTTAGTACAAAGATACGTGGAGTCAGAATGAAATCAAATGATCTGAATAAAATATAATGAGCAAGGCGCCTGAATCGGTGTGTGTGTATGTGTGTGTGTGTGCCCTATAAAAGCCTGTCAATAATTCCTAAAAATGGCAAAAGTTGTCTAACTTTTTCTTTGCATATTTTGTGCTTTTAATGCGTTGACTCCCATAACACCTGTGGGTATACGAATTTTTTCCTCAGAGGTGGAGGCACTTGTTAGCTCCTCATAAGCTGATAACAATCTTTGTTGTATGTTGAGAATGTAAGTTAAGACGTTTTAAGTACATTTTTTCCTCATTTCATTCAAGCTTTTGCAATTCTGTTCGAATTATGTGTATTTCCACATTCAACATTCTTTTCCCCAACTCCTGGTAGCAATCTTCACTGATTTCTTGTTTTGATTGTGTCTCGCTTCATTAATGTTTTGATTGAGTTTTAATGGATGTGCTTTTCTCCATTGCTTACATTCTGGAGTATTTAAATGAACATTAAATTTATTAAACACAAATTGTTTTCTGCTGTTTTTGTGGTGTTGCTAATATTTTTCATTAACATATTGAAAATGATTAAATATATAATTGGTTTTTTGCTTTCGATTACATTTGAATGAATTAAGAAATGAGAAGCTAAAAATACATACATAAGGAAGCGAAATAATTCATTACAGAGTACATACAATTCGATTTAATTCTTTAAATCCCTTAATATTGATTTATAGTATTACTAAATTTAAATTGATTTTAATCATATTTACATAAGAGAAAAAGTTGAGTGGGTGGAATGAGATCAATATAGCGACAAAGAAAGACAATCAGTTAAAAGGAACGTATTTAATAATAAAAAATGAAATAAATATTAACCTTATCCTTCTTATAAGGATATGATATAAATAGATCATATCTGAACATGAGAACAGTATAGCTATATAGAAAGATAATTTTTTGTAAAAGTAAGACCATATTTAGCCCTAAAAAGCGGAATGGAGATAAGACCAGTAACACGACATACAATATGTTTTCTGAAAACTGAAATAAGACTTGTTTACTAATAAAAAATTTTAGTATTTAGTAATTCAGGCCAGTGTTGTGAAATAGAAACTTTATTACTGGTGGAAATAAAATAAAAAAGAAACATATAATTACGTAAAAATCAAAAAGTATTAACACCCACATTACGACATAGGAAGATTTAGGAGCTGCTGCTAAATGGAAAAATTTTTAGTACTGAAAAAGTAATGGGAGTAAGACCAGTAATGCGACAAAATATATTTTCTGGTAAATCTGATATTTATTTTTTTTTTTTGAAATCCATTTATTTTATTACAATCTGTCAGGTATGAATGACAATAAGTAATATATATAATTATAAATCGTAATAATAATTATAACGATTTGATATAAGATATATTTAGTACTAAAAAAGTTTCAGTATTTAGTATGTTAGATTAGTATTGTAAAATAAAAACTTAATTACTGGTGGACTTAAAACAAAAAAGGAACATATTTTTATGTAAAATATGAAGGTATCAACAATCATATTGCGACATAAGAAGACATATGAACTCATATATAAAGAGAACTTATTTAGTACTTAAATAAAGAACGGCGAAAAGTTCAGTATAGCGAAACGAAGAGAAAAATGTTTAGTACTAAAAATAAAAAAGCGATAAGACCAATATAGTAAAATAGAGAGATAATCTGGTGGAATTAAAATAAAAAAGGAACGTATTTAGGACGTGTGCGAGTTAGGCTAAGTTGCGTTCTAAATGAGGGAAATTCTAAGATGAGCCGATAATGTAGTGATGTGTCGATACGTGTTGATAAATGGCTAAATGTGTGCAGTGCAAAAAATCCCAAAAAATCTCCCATTTGGTTTAGCATTAACTTAGCCTAACTCGCACACGACCTTAGTACTCAAAAATGGAAGGGATAATAATAACAGTATAAAAAAATAGCAAGTTAATTTCATTCTAAGAAATGAGGTCCTGCTACAAGACTAGTATAGCAAAATAAAAAGATAATTCCTGGTGCAACTAAAAAAAAAACATATTTAGTACTAAAAATGGAAGGGAGATAAGACCAGTATATAACAAAATAGAAATATAATTTCTTGTAGCACTAACTGCTGTAGTACGATACATTCATATGATAAGTGGCATAAAGAAATTTTTTTTTTCAAGAACTACAGATAAATACTAACAAATATTTCAATGAAAAAGCTAAAATTATACATTTTTAATTAAAAAAAATTGTATGTAAATCTAAATACATTAATAATTGTGCATGGCAAATGTTTAACGCAGAATATTTCCTTTTAATTTTATGAAAATTATTGATTTCAACTTTCGTTGCCAAGGTAGATCGAGTGTGAGTACTTATCTTGACCCTCGCCTTCGTTCAATTGAATGCGTCAGACTGCACGTAAAAGCCATTTTGAAGGTAAAAAATTATTGATTGCATTGTTTTAAGTAATTTTAATTAAAATTCAGTTGAAACCATAACAAAAATTTAATACTGAAAATATATTTTTCATTACCACAGAAGAAATATACATTAAAAATACTCCCTTTTTGAAAATAATCTCATTTAGTAGTGAAAATTGTATTGCTCACATGAAATCTGTGCATTCCCGCACGAATGCATTTAAGCGCTCAAATGTAAAGCAGAGATAAGCTCTATTAAACGCTAGGAAACTGTGTGGCTTACCCACATATTTTCGTATATTTATAGATGTACTCCGGATATTGAGGTTCTAGGTACTCGTAAAATACTAAGAATTGCACAAAATGTGTTGAATGAAGACAATGGCAAAAATGTAAATTCAATGCTAATAAGACAACTCTGTATTCTGTGTTCTTAAAATTTCCTGTGGGTGTGAGTGTGTGTGAGTTTGTACTTGACTCATACGCTGTGTGGTGTTAAATATGTAAATGTGTTAGTTTCTGTTAGTTACAAGTGTAAACTCACCTGTTGTTGGTTTTCTCGTTGTGTTCGCAAACGTGCCTCAATGCACTGCCTTGTCTCAATGAATGCTTTGCGTTGTGCTTTCTCCTTGGGCCAATGCGTGTAGATGCCAGTAAGATTCGATAAAAATAGTGCTAAAATTGTGCACAATAGCTGAAATAATATGCAATATCAGCAACTGTGTTCTATTCAAGCACTATTTGAGAAGATTTTTATGGTTTTCAATTATTTTTTGTTGTCTCAATATTCAAATGTAAATGATACAAGCATAAAATAAATAAAATCCCTTATATTGAATATGTAAAAGAATATTGTATAAATATTTAACAAGTTTTATAAGTAAACAAGCAAATATCATTGTATAAAGTTTAATGAAGACTTCATAATCATAGTTTCTTAATAACAATAATTTTTTTTATTTGGTAATAAATTTTTATATTTTTATTTATTATTTTATGTTCAAACTAACGAATTTTTATTATTGTTAAAAATAAAAAATTTAAAAAAAAAAACAAGAAAGGACAGATTTATTATAGAATAGTTATACTGCCGTAATTAATGCACTGATGAGTTGTTAAAACAATGAAATTAAATTAAAAATTATTAATTACTATATCAAAAACTAATAAATTTTTAAATTAAATAAATATTCAACAGTACTGTATTTTTTAATTTAAATATTTAAATCAAACTTTTATTTAATTTAATGTTTAAACGTACACAATTTGATGTTTCTTATATTATTTTATCTCATAGAATTGATGGAAAAAATTTGAATTCCAATCGGTGAAATTCTTCGAAATATCAGTTATGTATAAAACACTTAATAAAATATTTAAAAATTTCCATTTCATAAAACATCTACACCTATAAAAAAAAACTACTTGAATTCTATTTGCAGCAACATTAAATATTTATAAAATTATTTAAATTTCAAAATACTTTGAATTTTCTCTCAAATATTTCACATCCTACGCACTGTTGCATTTTGAAAATGCTGTTTGGCATTCTATAATGACACATAACACATTTCTGCAAAAAAAAAATATACTTTATGGAGTACATGAGTAACGACAATCTATAAAGCCCGTTCAAGTATACACATACTGTCTCACAAATAATAAAGACGTCGTAGAGTACATATGTATGCTATTGCCTTCTACACGTGACAACAAGTTTGATGTTTCACAATACAATTATTACGGCATAAATAACTTAAATCCAATAATAACACAAAAGTTACACAATAAATAGTAGTAAAAAAAAGTAGAAATAGTTCAATAGTAGTAAACTCACTTCTTGCCATTTTATTTTAACTTCATCATAACGTAAACTGGTGTAAATATGAGTGAAAGATAGTACCATGCCTCCCACCAGTGCCTCACGTAGACGTAAAGGTAGCATAGTGTATGTCATATAGATGAACACAACACAACATGAGCTTCCATTAAAGGATTTGCTGCAAAGAAAAAAAAAAAGAATAGAAAAATGAGAGTAAATCAAGCAAAACAGGAATGTCATATAAGTGCGTTCATCGACTGACAACTAACGAGTATTGAATGGGATTGCGGGCGAGGAAAAAGAAGAAAAAATATGAAAAGTTTAAAAATACCAAATAAATACAGAAATAGAAAATTGATATCATTTCCGTGTTTTTTCGTTAATAAAGAAATTGAAAGTATTAAAGAAGGAATTTATTACTACTTATTATTGAGTTAAATATAAGAAAATTAATATTTTATTTAATAAAATTAATCATTACTAATAAGATATTACTATATATTATAAATTGTTATATATTAATTAATTAAGGATATTAAAACATTTTTTTTTTTCGTAGTATAAGTGAAAATTAATTTATTAACGCATAAGGTGTTTCCATTTAATCTATACCTATTTTAAAGGTGTCAACTTAAGAAATAAAATAATGGAGTTGAAAAGCAGGGAGCATCTTTTAAATTTTTTCTTTATAAAGTTGGACACGGTGTTCACTAAACAAATTTTATATGTTAATACTAAACATAGAAAATATCTATGTTACTTCATAGAAAATATCTTTAAGATTTTAAATGATTATTAAAAATGTGTAAAGAGAGAATAGGACAACACAGAGGTGGCGTTCAAACATTTTATTGAAAGAAATAAAAAAGTATTTTGTAGGATGGGGATCATTTGATGAGAAAAACTTCGCATGGAGAATTTTCCTTTTCTTAAATGTAAAGCTCTATCATGCTAAAACATAAAGTCAGTTAACCATTCTGCTCAAAACCAAAAGAACTCTTAAGTCCTAAACAAAGACGGGTTACTGCAACCTTTACTCGAATTTCTTACTTTCCGTAATGGATATAAGAAGATCAGTCGTTAGGTCTTTCCTTCAAGTCAAAGTAACTAGGTGTGCTTTTCGACTCCAAACCAAATTGGAGGAGTAATTTTGAAGATAAAACTAAGAGACGGACTTCTACTAAACCTTTCATGAATGATGGGGATTGTAATACGGTAACAGCGGTAACAAGGTAACAATAGTATATGATATATACTTAACATTTAACAAGGTCATATTTCTTAGTAGTTTATTGTATAAGAATCATAATGAAACCTAAACAGTGACTAGCGTGGTTACCTTAAAAACTTTAGTTTAAATACCCCAAAAAGGCTAATTATGACACTCCTACCACTACAAGTGTTTGTTCAAGGCTGTGCTGCCAGAACTGCTCTAAGACTACGAGAGTCTAAGGTAAAGAAATCGGCTAAAGATGTATACATTATAATTTTAAATTAAATTATTAAGACATCTTGTGGCGCAGTATAGTTTGGATCAGCTACAGTAGGAAATACTTCTAAGTAAAATAGGGTTTAATGAATTTTTTATAATTATATACAAAAGATTTATAAATACATTAATACAAATACTTAAAATGATTCCTAAATTTTATGTGAAACAAAAAAAAACTTTAATGCATTATTTCGTTGAATATGGAATACGTTGAATAAAGATAACAATACAATATAATAAACTATTTTTCCATGCAGATTTTACCACATCAAGTGATCCCCATCCAACATAATATTTGTTTTTTTCTTTCAATAAAATGTTTGAATGCTACCTCTGTGTATTTTTCATATTATCTTTTTTATTATAATTTTAAAAATACTTGAAAATTTATATAGTATTTCTTGTTATACAAAAATTAAAAATTTTCCAAAGATTTTTTTCCTTACCTGGGTTGTGTGGCATAGCCAACAGCTATTTCGATTGCAATGAACGTCCCCACAATAACGTAGGACACCAACACTAGAAAAATTTCATTCATGGCAGGCTTAGATAGAATGCACAGCAAAACTGTTAATAATAGAAAAATGTAATTATTTATTAATTTTTTTTACTTATTAATATTTTCTATTTAACAATTTTATTTATTTTAAATTAACTTTAACAAAGTCGAATTTATTGAAATGTAGAAGGCGTTATTGACATAGTAAGAAAACAATTTCGAATGAGTCAAAGTTATAGTTGACCCGCAAAATAAACATTAAAATAACTATCAAGAATTTAATGTTTGTTCATCTTGAAAAAAGGAAGATACTTTATATATTAGTATGAATATCCTTTAACAGTATTTTCTTTTTTGTGGGCCTCAGTATACAAGACCGCCATCTTACATAGATAAACTATGTACAATATATTACACTATTGTACAATATTCTTCAAAATCTTAAAGATAAATTACAAATTGATTATTTCGATATTTATCTTTTAACTTCCGTTTTTCAGATATAGAATTAAGTGACCCTGGTATTAACAGATTTTGTAAAATGTGTTGTAATTTTTTTATCATCTCATTTGCACACGTCGCAATTTCAATACTGTGAGGGTGAAATCAATCAATCCCCTACTATGGCTTGGTCTAGAAATACGGGAATAGAATATTTTGATTATACGAATATTCTACAGCCATTTCCAGGATACTATTATTTTTAATTACATCACATGATTTCTTATATTTTTAACATTTGTTATCTCTTTTAATAGATGAATTTGTCAATATAAATTTATTACTATGTGATAAAATTATTAATAATTAATTACTTGTGGTTAGTTATCGTTGCAATAAGTAAGAAAAAATATATTTGATTTATTTTAAAACAATTTATTTTATTAATAATGATTTCTAAACCGTAAATATCCTTGATAAGGAACTTCATTGTCTTGCTTCTAAATCAATTAATTCGAGTAAAAGTTATTTAATCAATTTAATGTGTATAAATAAATGTCATTTGAAAAAACAAATGCACTTATTCTTACTTTGCTTCATTTTTCAATAAATTACTGTAATCCAATCTTGCACTGTAAGTGCAGAAAAAGCATTTAAAAATAAATTACAAAGGACTTTCATTACAAGCACAAATTGTGAGTGCAATCTGGACAGGACTGAATGAAGGACTTGAAGTTCCCATTGTGACTTAATAGTTCGCATTGTGTTTCACTCTTTGTAGCAAATTAACTCAATCAAACGTGCAACAGATAAAGTGGCACAGGTGGAAGTGGTGCTACACAATCCGGAGTGACGTGATAAGCTGGCAACTGTGCACAGTGGAATTAAAGCATTTAAGCTATCAAACTGTCACCTCACTTTTGTGTGGCTTACGAAATGTTTACTCAGAGGATTATTTATTAATAAATTTTTATATAAATACATATATATATATATATATAGAAAAACAGAAAATATTCAATTGAGTTACTTACAAGCATAAACGATGACACAAATAATCATCACAACTAGAAATACCAGTACACGTTCATCGATAGCAATAATAACGCTCAGCACTAACTCAAATAGATTGGAGTCTGTACTTCTGGTTGTCTGACTACCTTCAGCCTCATTTGGTGATTCCTCATGCGTAACGGTTGAGTTGTGGCCAATTTCCATGTAGTCTGCGGTATAACGCACATTTGTCGTATGATTATTATTGTGATTATTCTGTGCCAAAACATCACTCAAATCTTCGACATTCGCCACGTTTTCACCGACAATATCGTCATCATCGTAAACATTGCCAGCAACAATTTTATCGCCAACGTAAGGTAAATTTTTATTGCCATTATGTCTTTTGGAAATGGTTTTCTCATTATTTTGTTTCTTCTTCTTATTGTTGCTGTTATCTGCGTTATTATTGTTGTTATTGTTGTTATTATTGCCATATTTGTTGTCAAAGCGTATGCCATTCGCTGACATTTCTAATTTTATGTTATTGTTGGGAGTTGTGTATATATCCTTTGACGTTATTATTTTAGTCCTTCGTACGTTATCAAAGTTGCCATAGTTTTCTCTTGTGATTTGCTCTTGATGTGTGGTTTGACGTTTCCTTCGCTTTCGCCATCGACCTCTACTTGAGTTGTTGCTGTTGTTGTTGTTTCTACCTTTTTCCTGGGCTTCCTCGACACGAGCATGAGATTGCGTTCCATGCGTTCCCTGCGTTGCATGCGTGCCAACGTATCTTTTCAATCTATTTTTGAAATTGAAAATTTTCATATGAATAATGTTGAGATTTTTATTTTAACAAACAATAAATAAAAATGTTAATTTTAGAGAACACAATTTTTGTGGCTTGAATGTATATCATGTATCCTTGTATTTTGATTATAAAATATAAAAAAATTTATTTTAAAATATGAAACAGTGAAGTAATCAATTTTCAAACAATTCTGAAGACTAAGGACTTATATATTATTTACATACTAATTTTCAATGTTTGATTTAAGGATGTATATTTATCTACTAACCATACATAAGACCACAATACGTATATTTAATTCCTTATGAAATATATTATAAAAGAAAATAAATTATTATTTTTGAAATCCTAGTTTGGTAATATATACTAAAATTTTTAATAGAAACTCATTTTTGAATGAACTGTTCTTTTATATTGTACAGTATTATTTAATATAATACCCATAAATCTTTTGATTATATTATAATTTTAATCTTATAAATTGTGAAATATTGGACATGAAATAAAAGTTAAGTTATTCAACTACGTACTGAATTCTGTTTCTTTTTAGGAAAATATTGCATTTCTCAAAATGCATTGCGGTGTCAACAAATTACATGTTTCGGAAATATTTGGGTGTGCCAATCATCTTCCTAACTAACCACAATAAATTATAATTCGGATAATATATTAATTTTAAGTAAACTGTTTTATAGTTACTTCGAAATATACTTGAAATCAAAATAACTTAATAATATTACTTACAATTTTTGTAGGTATTCCTATATTATTGGCACCCTATTAAATATGCTTAATACTAGGTACATTATATTGGAAGATATATGGATAGAGCATTACGTCACTGGAATCACATTATATTGACAGATAAATAAATATTTTTACCATTAACACTATACTTATAAAAAGCATATACGTATTAAAGAAACTGTTCATTAATAGAACTGAGACAGAAAAGTTTCATCAATTATATGATATATTTGATAAGCAATTAAATATTTCGATACAATAAATATTTCGATACCTTGACATCGGAGACTATTTTGCATTTCATAATGTTCACCTCATTATGTCCACCACCCTTCAATGAGGCAATATGCCACACTAAGTGGCAGCATAATATAATAATATGCTAATAAAAATATGATCAGATAATAAAAAGCAAAAGAGATCCCATTAAAGAGGTTACTAGGTGGACTGATAATTACCTAACAACTTTGACAACAGATGACAACGTCAGAACAAAATCAATTAAATTTTGTATATCTGGCAACAATACTAAGACCAGAATAAAAACAATAAACTGGCCTATGATAGACAATACAATGTAAAAAAACAAATAAGTACAGTTTTTATAGTCCAAGTGAGATGCTATTCATTAATCAGACCTGAATGACCACCTTAAAAGTAAAAGTCTAGCATCCACTGCAGAAGGCATGGCTCCCTTAATAATAAAAGAAAATAAAAATAAAAACTAATCTATGAGCTTTTATTTACCTATATCAGCCTCTTAAAGCACCAATTAAAAATAAAGACTAAGTTTATGTTAATTTTGCTTATAAAAGGGTGATATAGTTATATTATTATGCTAACATTGCTTTATTTTTTAAATAGAAATAAAATTTTGCCTCTTTTCATGATTTATCAAAAATTTGAATTTAAAAAAATGAAATTAAATAAATGAAACTATTTTTTTACTCCTTTCAAATTCTTCAAGAACTCAAACAATTCATGGAGTGTGTTCATATTAAATTTTGAAAAAAAAAAATTTAAATAAATAAAAATGAGTTTTCATCACCCCAAAAGCGTAGGATATTCTTTCAGCAGTTTTTCTTTTATAATTTCTAATATTTGACGCCTTTGAAACTCAAGCTTTAATACTGAAATAAAAAATAACAGCGCACAAATAAAGACAGACACAAAAAGAAACTCTTAACAGTGGTGTTATATGTGATATGTTAAGTCATATTTGCTGTTATTATTGCGTCTTTTTAACTGCTTTTGTTGGGTTGTGCTGTTCTGCTCTGTTTTGCTCTGTTTTGCTCTGCCGTTGGTAATGTTGTTATTGCTTTGAGTTGTTGCTGTTATTACTGCTGCACACTGTGTATGAGCTTTTGATGCTGCTATGAAATTCTATTATCAGTTTTTTTTTGTTCGTGTACTATTTTAACACTTCTATGCAATGTAAAGAATTCTTTTGTGTGTTGAGGAATTCTTTGATTTTCTTCTTATTTGAGTGGGAACAGTTTAAAGAAAAATAGAATTTCAATTCTATTGTGAATAAAAAAAATCAAATCAAAATCAATTTATTTTCTTATTAGATTTTTCAATTTGTATAAAAACGAATTTCAAACGAATTGTTCACTACACAAGGCTCGGTTAACATTATTCTGCCCGCATTGCGATACTCCGCAAAAATTCAACTGTAATGAGATAAAAAATTTTATTTCATAACTCTAGCGCCCCTTTTTTTCGTACAAATTTCCACTTAATAGTTTCAATCCAATGGAGAAGTGGCAAAAATACACTTCAATACGAATTTGTCTGAAATGAACTTCAAGCTTTTGAACATTTATTTTTCCCGCTTCCTTGGTTGCCACTCACTGTTGGCACTCTTAAGAGTTGAGCGTTAATTGATTTTTCGCGTTTATTTCTACTTCTGGCGAAATTTGCTCCTTTAGAAATGGGCACTGCCATGTACTTGCCCATTTAAATGAATTTGGCAGTTCCATCGAATTTTATTCCTTCAGCACGTTTTCACTTATCTTCGAGTAAAAGGAGTGCCTACACGTTAATTGCTCCTTTTGATTTCTTCCTATAAATGGCACAGCAAACTTTATTGAGTTTTCCGGTGGTGAAAATGCAGACAAAACTTTAGCAAGTTTTGAATGTTTAATAGCAAAAGTTAATTTAAAATTTCTTTTTATCTTTTTATGTGAAATAAGTTTCCAAATCAAATTCAGATTAAGTGAATAGCATTTTATTTATAATCATTTTCAAATATTTTGTCTTAATTGAGTTCTCATATAAATACAATTAAATTGAGGCATATTAATGCACGTGCAGTTAATACAAAATTAGCAATGACGAATCTGGATACTATTTAGTTTAAATTAGAATCTTTAAAGTCTTCGAATACACACGATCTAAAACCGTTACAAAAACAAGAAAAAAACAGTGTGGAACAAGCCAAAATATTGCAACGCTACTTTTGGGCAGAGTATGATGCGTTTGTGATTGGTTTTAAAGCTATACTTCATGTTTAATGTAAACATTTTAGAAATAACTAATATATTCTTAAATTTGAAATAATATCAAGTATTGCAACAAAGGAAAAGATAAAGTGCAAAAAGTTAATGAATTGCCAAGGGTGTGGTGCTTTTTTGGGTCATCTCAAAGCCATTATTGTCAGCATTATGCCCCGTGTAAAAAAGAACCACGAAGCGCAACTCTTTTGCTTTTATAGATTTGACTTAAGATTTCCCATTATCAAAGTTTAAAAAGCTATGACGCTATTATTAAGATTAAAAACTACTACATCGTTATGTTTATCACTGCTAACGCCTTTTTCAAGAAAGTGTTCTAAGTGAGGCAGGTTAGAAATGTAAGCTCCATTGGAAAATAGTATAGTTTACTAACGTGACATATTACATGGTCTTATATACACAAGGTTCAGTATGAGTCTGACTTTTATTTATTTATAGGAGAGAAGATGTTAATTATATTAATACTGAATCGTTAACAAGAAATATGAGAATGATACCACATATATGAAATATCAGTCTTACTAAATCTTTTGAAAACTTTGTTGCAGTATATACCAGTCGGACGCACTTGAAGCTTAAAAGGATTTTTGGGACACAATCATTATAAGTAATAAGTGATTATAAGTGATATAAGTGATTAAATGGAACCATAAACAAACAAAATTTTCGGTTTTACATCATCAAAAATCGTCAATTTGCTGCAAAAGTATCTCTTTACTACTAAAAATTGACAGTGTGGTGCAGAATTTGGGTTAATGTTGTCATATCATCACAAACATTTTCGATTGGGGAGTACAAAATCATCTCTGAAGATGCTAACTATCATTACTAAATAGTAGTTAAAAGTCATTCAACCACCACGTTTTCAGTGCACCCTTTATATCTATAACTACAGTGTACTCTTTGTTTACATGATTTTAAATTCTTAAATCAGATCCTTGACGTTTTGCTCTGACTTATCGCTAGTATCTAACGCCTGTCACCTTTTGGATCTCGCTGCTTTTATCTAAAGAAGGTTCTTTCGTCTTTTGTTTTATAGAGAGCGATATTTTCAACAGCAGTGTAGTGATACCCCTTATCACAGCATTAGTTTCACATGGGACAGAACTTTAAGAATTTTCTCAAATTCTTTGTGTGAAGAGATGAAAAAAATCCATGCTTTAATTGCCCGAAGACTTTGCCGTATGCGATTATATATAGCTATATAAATTTTTTTTTACATAATAAATTTGAATAGCCTTAATAGTTTAGCATTTAAAGGGGTCAAAGTGTATAAGAACAAAATCAAAAAATTGTTTTTCTTTTAAATTTTTTAATAAATAATTTATTTTTGTTAATAAATATTTAAATATAGTAATAATAGTTTTTATGTTTTGAATAAAATTCTACAAAAAATTTTTAAAGGTCATATAACAAGTTTATGTTTCAAACTATATACGTGTTAGTTTAGAAATCATTTCTTAGCTGAAATCCATCTCCCAATCTTTTCCTACGGATTTTTGAGCTGAAATAAATTAGAACATAAACTTGTTATATGACAATTAAAACTTTATAGAAGAATTTTACTTAAAATATAAGAACTGCAAGTACTATTGCTAAATTTGGTTATTTGGCAACAAAAATAAATTAATTCCTGTGCATATATACTATAAAAGAGGTATGAAAATAAAAATAATGTGTAATAAAAAATATGTTGTGAACCATAAAAATATCCTCTTTTAAATAAAAACTTATACCGCTGAATTGAAAGTTTTTAGTGGCAGATACTTTAAATTTACCAAACTACAAGATACGAGCTCGTTAACTTTTATGCAAATTTTATGCGCCATTAAAACTCTTTAAACTGGTGCCTGATATACAAAACCGCAAGTGCCATAAAATCAATATCTCAACTTCAAGATACTTGCAAATAAATCACAACACCTGTTCAACTCTCCTTGCCGTGCAATGGAAGTGCTCAGCCCAATTGTGTTTAAACTCTGAAATTGGCGGAAGCCGTTAGCACTGAAATTTCGCACTTACCTTGAACGCTTAAAGCGATGCTCCGTTGAAAATTTTCGTTTTTGCCTTGAGAAAAAAACCAATGCCGAAGACTGCAAGTTAGGTTTTTCCACTGCGCTTGTTGCTACCAAAGTGTTCGGTCCACTGCCGGCAAAGTCATGCCCGTCATCATTGTCTTTACCAGATCCATTGTCGAAATTTACCACTGACAATAAAGAGTTTTGATTGCCCGACGGCAACGGTTGTGAAGTTATTGCTTTCTTCGCTATTTCCTTGTTAATTTGTTTCGCTGAATTGTAACTACCGCTTTTGATGCTATCATCACCACCCTTATCATCCAAAAAAGCAGTCTCATTTTGCTCGTACTTCAACCAGCTCTCCACTTGCCCCCAAGCGAATGGCAGCGCTGTGGCATCGAATGTGTCGTAGTCGTTAACCTCGAAGTTGGAAGCATTCACGTCGGCGAAAGTTGTCGAAAAGTTTCGACGCAACTGCAGCGTCGTGAATATGATGTGCGCACTCGACAGCGCCACTATAAGTGCCAATAGCAACGCCAGGACGTGTGTTGTGTTGCTCTGGTTCATACGTAGAAAGTAGCGCTGATAGAGCATTTCCACCTGCAAAAGGAAAATCAAAAACAGTAGCGGATATCGTAAATAGCACAAAAAACGTAACGTAACAAAAATAAAGTTGTTGCAAGAATTTAGCACACGCCACACCCCCACAACAAGCACCAAAACTTTTTGTTCTATTAAATGTGCTGTGCTTGTCTGAGCTGTGTATGCGTGTATGTGTATGATGAAGTGCAAGTGCAGACGTAAACAGGAAGGCAGAAAATTTGTGCAAATTTCGTTGCTAATAAAAAATATTCACTTTGCGCCTCGTAAATAAAGTTGAGCGCTAAGCGCTCTATGAAGTCAGCGATAGATGAGCTCAGATACAAATCCTGCTAAGGACACCCTCACCATCATGTAAGAGTTCGGAGTTCGCTAATAAATAAGCACTTGTTTATCGTGTTTCTATTGTATCTATTGTTTCTATTGTGGTTGTTGTTGTTGTTGTTGTTGTTGTACTGATATATCTTGATTTTAAGCAGATTCCTAGAACAATTCGTTTAGAACTTTTCTACTTAATTTTGTTGGGTGTTGTGTGCTTGTTGCACTGAACACTGAAATATGTTCGGATTACGGAGCTTACAGTTCCTTACTATCAACTATTTATGTGCTTGTTATTTAGCCAGTAAGTAAATTAATAAAGTTAAATATTTAACAAAGTAGATTTGAGCTGCAATAAACACAAACTTTCGAAACTTCTCTGCTAGCAGTTTTGTTTGGTGCTAATCTTCAATGCAAACCATTTGTAGTCGGCTTAAGGAGTACTTTTGCAACATATAGGACAATAGCGATATGGCAGCATAAGGTAGGAAAGTTATTTTATTTACAGTAAATTTAAATAAATTTGCTATATAGGTTTAATATATTTGATAAAATTGATGCTTCACTGTCAGTTCATTACTAAATATCAAAAGAATTAACAGATCAAAAAAACGAATTGATGAGTTTTAGCTTGAAAAGTAAATACTGGTAAATCTAGTAGTAGTTTGAGTTTTAAAAATTTTTACAAATTTTTACAAAAAAGTTATTTAATTTTTAGAAATAATTTTGATTTACTTTAATTTTGGTTCGATTTTCAATTTATTAATTAGAAGAAAAAGTAATATTTTAAGTTTATACCAATATTCTTCTAGGTATGGAACTACATCCAATGCTACTATTGCTCAATAACAACAAAACTCGTATTGGGATCGAAATAGAATACTCCCATTAAAACTTTTAAGTTTTTGACTGATAGTCCTTACCCCGAAAGATCAGGTACATCATTTACCCACAAATACGGAAGATGCATAAGCAACTGAATATTTCTAATATATATGACTAAGACTAGTAAAATCAAAACAATTCACTGTAAAAGTTTTCGTACTAATGATAATAAGAGGGCGGTTTGATAAGTCAGTGACTTTTTGAATAAAACAAATTTTTTTCGGCAAATAAACATTTTCTTTTTCTACATAATCACCTTTTAGCTCGATACATTTAGTCCAGCGTTTTTCTAATTTTTTCATTTCCTCCAAATAATAGGTTTTCTCAACTCCTCAGCCATTTCTTTAGGTTTGGAAACAGAAAATAGGCGCAGAATAATATGCTGGATGGGCAGTTCGTATCCCAATTCGTGGATTTGGGATCGTTATGCTTAATCAGCACACGAAATTCACTTTTTTCAATTTTCGTAAAAATTCACGAGGTTATCTGCTTTGAACGGCTATCAAACGCCAACTGAATGACTTAGCTTGCTCAAAATTAGAAAGTTGCCCACTAGTACATAGATTACAGCTGACGGCAGCACTTTTTTTTGAAAAGTATTTTTGAAAAGTAGTAATAGATCTTTTTCAAAAATTTTTTCTTGTTATGTTGGTACACCCTTTCTTGACATATGATACAAATTTGAGCGCCATCTGTCAATTAGTTTCTTTACAGCAGCTGTTAATGTGAGACTACCTCAAGTGCATTTAGCGATTTTTACTATTGAAAATTCTTGTTGTACGTCATTTTTTGACCAAACATGGCACCACTGTCATCGCTCAGGTACCATATTCGCCAGATCTGGATCCGTGCGACTTTTTCCTGTTCCCGAAACTCAAAATGCCCCAAAATACCCCTAAATGTCGATTGAATCGGTAAAAGAGAATTCGCCGAAGAAACTAGAAGCCATACCTGCACGGGCCTACGAAAAGTGTATGGAAGATTGAGTTTAGTGTTGGCATATGTATATCGCTTCAGAAAGAGCATATTTTGAAGGAAATAAAATAAATTTGGAATAAAATTTAAATTTGCGTGTTTTATTTACAAAATCCGGGTACTTTTTGAGCTGAAGGTATATGGTTGTGATCGATTTTATATATAGCATTTAAAACTGATAGCTGTTCATATATTACAAATGATGTGAAAACAGCTATAGACTACATAACATTAAGCCCGGACTATGCCACAGAAATTTTTGTTTTCGATCCTATAGAAAAGACTAGGTGTCAATACGTGTCAAAGAAATTTTTGTTTTCTATTCTACAGAAAAGACTGGGTGTCAAGGGGTGTCGAGATCTTTGGCAGACTGGCTGCAGTTACCATATACATGATTGGCAGGTGCAGATAGATCTAAAAGTGGATATTTGTTTAAAGGATTTGCAGGTAAGGCAGTCATAACATCTCCCTGATTCCTGCAATATTTTTTGCACTGAGATATGTGTAATTGAAAAATAGCTACGCTGAAGAAGCTAGTACCATTCGATTCTTTAATAACACTATATTTATACTATCTATAAACTCAGACCTAATTATTGCTCCAGACTAATAACCGTTGTATATACACAAAAATTTAATAATTTATGCTGATGTTTTGAATTCATCATCGTTAGCAACGTACACGTTATAGCCTTTAGGGATATTTCATGGTTTGTATGCAAAGAAAACAAAATTTTGTTGTTTGAAAAAAACAAACAAAAAACAAACATAAAATGTTTTTAATTGTAATTAATAAAGTGAAATTAAACAAAACAATTTTTAATCTGCAATGAGTTAAATGTGCAAAAAATTTTAAAATGTATAATTTAAATGAAATGACGAGGGCCGCACTGCAGTTTGTGTCATAAGTGATATTTGCATGCAGTGGCAATTTCAGTTCCCCATAGAAAACTACAGAAATCAGAAAGTAAATATCTAACTAGACACAAGTCAAGTTGGGAAAAAGTTTGGAAAAGTTAAATAAAATCAAAAAAAAAAAAAATAAAAACAAACGTTTTAAATCCTTGAATGAGTAGAATAAAGGGAACGTGTGTGCAAAACCTTAACTGGAAATGTAGCCATTTTGGTTAGATAAAATTATACTCTGCAAATTTATACTCTGCAAATTTATACTCTGTGCAGTTGTGGATGAAAACTCACCTGTAAATTTTTGAATTGATGCTGACTGCATAAACGTAAAATCACACGATTTAGACGAAACCAAAAGGATATTGTCGGACTGAGGTTGCCATTGGGATTCAGATTTCCCTCAACATTACGTGAATCGCTGGAATCATAATCTGAAAATATAAAAAGTTAATGTGTAAATAAGTGGAAAATTTGTAAAATATTTAAGTAGCAAAGCGAATGTTTAACGAGATAAAATGGGTGCTATTTGCGATAATATTCAACTGTTTTAGTTAGGATTTGTGTGAAGTTAAAATGATTGTTCAAGTAAAACAAAAACGTACAAAAAATATAAAGTTTATTTAATTCAAATAAGTGGATTTTAGAATGGTATGAGATACTCTTAAATAAATTTATCACATTAGGTATAAAAATAAGTTTGCGTTTAAAAATCAGTATTTGATACTTCAATAAAAGGTAACAAAAATATTGAATTACAGTGAACGCACACTTAAGTTAACATTGATGGGAAAGAGCAGCAATTATATTCGATTGAAAGAATTTTTCTCAGCAATATTGTATGCTTACGAGAGATGTTTGCTTATAAACGCTTTCCTTTAATAGGGATTTCTAAAGATCACTTTTTATTATAAACTAATAACATTTTTGAAACATAGTTTAGGTACTAAAAGGTAACTATTTCCCATAAATGTATTACAAACTTAAATTTAAGTCAGAGGAAGCATTCGTACATGTCAAGAAACCACTTTAGTATAATTTGTTGCAAATATTTGCAACAGAACGTCATATTCGCTTATCTTTACCTAACTTGATAATCGATTATTCCGTACACATGTCCTGTCTTGTATGTTTTCGTCAACCACAGGATAATTGCTGTAAATCAACAACTTTGCAGATTGCATAAATTTGCATTCGATGAACTTTTTAAAATTCAATGCCTTGCTTGCAAACATATTCTCACTCCAACAGTTCGAAGGAACGTAGAAAAGCCTGGGGTGAAGTAATTTTCAGATTTCATAAATATTTTCCATTTATTCAAGTATCTTACAGAGTGAGCATCTTACATAGTTGGTAAAGCAACTATGAAGTTTGCATAAAACACTACTTCGCAGCACTAACACAATTTGCATACGAAATTGAAAGTTTTTGCAAAGTTTTTTTTCATGTGTTACTGAACTATCTTCAATCTTCAGATATGCATACTTTTATCTATTCGATAAGGAAACTTAAGAGAAAAATTTGTGGTTTTAATGAACAAACATATTCAGCTTTTTCAAGCTATTATCCCCATATATCTACAAATTAAAAGTATCGACTATAATTTAATAAAATCGTCAACATCACTTACTGAAGTACTTAAATCGAATACTGAAAATGTTCTTCTAAGTTAGTAAGTTCGTTCTCCTGTTGATCTGTTAGTAACAGCAGAAAATACAGTTTTCTCAAAACTATCCATTCTTACTGCACCCTTTATGGGAACACTGTTTTCTTCTGAATTCCGACAAATCTTAAATTATGGTCGCTGGCAGGCATCATAGTAAAACGGTCTCTTTATGTCATCCGCTGTGATACCTCCGAGATGAAAAGGGGTTATAATCTAGCACTTGTTGGGGTCGTAACAAATTTTTGGTAATGTATAAGCTATTGCCTTACACCCAGTATCGACAAATGATACTGTTCACATAACTGACCAATTCTAACCAAACATTTTATAAGATTATTGTTTTTTCTTGATTCCTGATAAAGCAGCGTTAATATAGACGTTGTTGCCTCACACTTTAGTTATAATTAGTAAAAGTGGCTCTAAAAATGTTCTTACTAACCAAACCCTTTAAACACTTATGAGATCGCTGTTAACTGCCAGGTTCTAATCAATGTAAGCTTATGTAAAGATATTTACTTAACACTCAGTAAAAATACGTTAATAAATGGACGTTTATATTTGAATTCAGGTTTCAAAATCGAGTTTACATGAAGATAAACTAATGGTTTAAAAATAGCGAGATTAAACCGCTTCTTCTGATAAATTTGTGCCAACGTTTTCGTTCGTATTTGTTGCTGGGGTTGTCCTTGTTTGATAATCGCTGAATCATTGTCGTCTTAAGTAGTTAAATTAACTTAATGATACGTGTCTCTTAATGTCACAAGATTTGTAAACCAATACTTCAACTGAGGACTAACTTATAAATTAAAACTCAACCCTTTAACTGATTGCAGAAACTTATTGGAAACATGTATATAATCCAAAATCCTTAAATTGAAAGAATTAAATGACTACCAGGTCTACGTCCTGGAACCACTCGACAAGGTTGAAAACCAAGTACCATTCAATACTCCTAAAAGGGAAAACACGAGCAGATGCTTGCAAGCTACAACACCAATAATCTGTTTGCCCGGAACAGAATTATGTTCAGTTTCTTACTCATTAACTTGTAGGCGGATTGTTTATTTAATCAATTAATAAAAATATTAACAATATTATATACATACATATTTTTAAATTAAAATGAATTAACAACTATTTTATTAACCAGGAATTTAATTAAACATTACTCACAGTATTCATGTGGAATATGTCTTGATCCACATATAAGTAGTACACAATATATTAATATTTCACAATTATTCAGTTTCTAATACACTGTATATATAGAGTTACTTGAGTGGTTTAAAAACAATAGTACTATTTACAGCGTAAAAATGCTTTATAGCATCAATATTTTTGAAAATAAAAAAAGCTTTTTCGTTTCACTAATGCATCTCATTCAAATTAATATTTTTTATATTTTTCTAATCTAGTTCTGCTATAGTGTCTACTGAGTAAACAAGCACCACTCTGACGAAAACTTTTTTCTTTATTTTAGAATAAATTATGAATAGTGATAAATTTTAAGTAAATAGAAATATTAACATTTTAAATAATTAAAATAATGTATTGTACTTTTATGGCAAGTAAAACAATTCTGAAACACTGTTTTCTTTTTTTAATGCTGAGAAATAATAATAGGGAATATAAAAGTAAAACTTTTATTTTCATTCAATTGTATTTCATAACTGGCTTAGTACAGGCTTAATAGATGTACTTGAGATCCAAAAATAATATACAAACTACTCGGTTAGACTAGGTTGAAAGGATGCTTACTGAAAGGGGTTTCGACACTTTTACTCGAAAACATTTATTACTCATTGTGATATTTTAAAACTAACCTGCGAGAGGCGACTTATAGTAACCACTATTGTCTCTGTGTATTATCATTGTTAATCTATTTAATATTCAAACAAAATTGTGGAGATCCGACAAATCCATCTCTGTAATGTCTGTCTGGAACGTGAAAAAGCGGAATCCAAATCAATGAAGTCACTTCGTTTATATTTTTATGAACGAGACATAAAAAGTGATCAACGGATTCTATCTTTCCCTTACCATAGAAGTTTTTGTAGATTCTATTGTAGAAATATATTACAGTTGAGGAGGAATGCACAGTGTGAACTATGAAATCCAACAAGTATTCTCAAAGACTACTGCCAAAGCTGCCAAATAGTCAGACAAAAATTATTTCAACCAACATAAAATGAAGTGTTGTTATATTTTTACAAAAAATTATTGATTATTAAATTTAACAATAATTTCAATATCTTTTTAAATATTTTGCATATAAATTTAAGCAATAAAATCGCTCAAAGGTTGCAAACATAAAAGAGGAAGCCGTCGAAGAGGATTTATTTTATATAATAATATTTTTTTAAATAGTTCAAACTTTTTTTTTGGTCTTTGTAACTAGTGATTGAAACCAAAGCTTTATTCAGGTACAATCATATAGAGGTTTTTCAAACAGTAGTGAACTACAACAACAAAAAATTCATTTTATAATTGCAATAACTTCAGTCAGGAACTCAACAAAAAATATCGTGTAAAAACACTGCAAGGCTTACTGTAGTTTTTTCTGATTATTAGTATATAGGAATCCACGTAGTGAAATTGCACATGCCTCATAATCCTGCTGAAGTTATGGTAACCTGCAGGAAAAAGAAACTGTAAAACATTTCCTCTGTGAATGCAGGCTTTGGCGTCTAGAAGAAATAGGGTTTTAGAAAGGTACTTCTTTGATAGTTTATCAGACTGTTTATAAAGACAAATTTATAAAGACAAAAGACCTATTCAATTATTTAAATTAGATGGCATGGATTTAGTCCATATTCTTCTAATTTAGGGGTTCTTACGAGGTATGTGGTAGATGGAAGTTATTTGATGGCCTGTCACTGCAAGCAATCAACAGTCGCAATAACCGATATGTCGTTATATTTATAAATTTCATGTGACAACGTAAATTAAACTTTATAAAATTGTCGTTATATCAGGTATCGTTTTAAGTGATTTCTACTGTATTTTTATTATCCGCTTAAATAAAATGAAAAATTCTCTTATCAAAAAAGTACACTTTAAATCGTGTATTATTTATCAAATTTTTAATAGTCGCACATGAATCAAATTTGACAAAATATCAGCAAAAAGTGTTTTTTTAAAAAAATATATTGATTTTGATTTACAAAATTAGTTTACTCAGCATGTTTTCAGACAGAAGAAAATCTCTTTCGATATAAATGTCATAGATAAATTTGCCACACACAGTGTTTTTGCTGATCCATTAGAAATACGAGTAGGAAAAATTGCCAGAACCAAAAAAGGTAACAGGATCTGACTATGCATTTTGGCATTATCTGAGTATGGTTGTTTGGTTTTCATAGCACGACTAGCAAAAATATCTACACAAAATTGATGAACTCGATATCCAACAGTGATTTTTCAATTTGTAAAATATAAGTATTTGTTATTCCAAAGTTAAGCAAACAAACCCACAAACTGTGGCGGGAGCCTAAAATGAAGTTAAAGGGAGCCAAAAATAATCAAAATTCAAAACAACGGCAACGTCGAAAGCATCAATTTTAATTCGAAACATGCATTTTGTTAGCTCAAAATGCACACATTGCGTTTCACTTACAAAGCAACTTCAACAACCACACGTATGTGTGTCGATATGGATTTACTCAATCCTTATTTGCATATTCACGTGCGCGGCTTCAATCCTTGCCAACGGAATACAAGCAGGGCTATGGCACTATTCCTATATCCAAGCCTGCATCAACTCTGCCAAATTTAAAACTATTAAATAATATGTGTGGTTGCGTGAACTACACACAATGCGTGGGATGTGGCTTCTACAATATTGTGCTAAATAATGTGGTGAAAAGTATCTAGATACATGCTGACTTCATGCGTGTGTTAATTTTATATTCACACAAATATGCATTTATAACAAAACGTTTAGATAAGCTATATTTGGCTTTGTTTCAAAACTTTGTTTAATGCTTTGCATATTCAGCAAATTAGAATGATTTTTTGTGTCACGATTTGCTATTAGTAAAATTTTATATTTCAGGTATGTTCGAAATTTCTATCTTCTCGTTATTTATAATTTTTGAACTATCGCAAATATTTGGCTTGCATAAATATTTAAAATTGTTTGCTTACTTTGTTGCAGCAGTTGCGCTTCATCACGTTGATAAACCATAGGACTCTGACATGTCGAACTGGAATTGGTTGAGTCAATAGATTCATCGATGTTACATCGTGTTATGCCCGCCTATGAAAAAGAGAAAAGTTTCCAATTATTTTAGTAGTGTTACAAATAAATAGTCAAAGTTTATTCAAAGTGTAGGCAAATATTTAGTTGAACTGATAGTTTTATAGTTCAACTATCGGTTTGTGTCAATGTGAACTGCATATAAAAATAAACTGCAAATTTGTTTTTCAACACCGAGAGTAAAATTAAAAAAAAAAATTTTATTTATGCAAAACTGCTCTATGCACTTCCGTTCACACTTTAAACAATTTACGTAAATTGCCTCCTCAGAAAAATTGCTTCAGCTGCAGCTGTAAGGCCAATGTTTGAGTGGCCACTTGGGTTGAAGTAGCATTCTGAGTTCACACGTGCCATATTTGTTTAGTTTCTTCTCCCTTCTGTCCTTCTGCTCTTTTAATTCAATTTACATAAATCGTATGGAGAGAAACTAGAGGTGTTAGTCGTACGCGTGTATATTTTTCAATTGCTCACACCTAAATGCAGTAATCAAGATCTCGGAATATTGTAAGTGAATTCAAAAAAAATAATTTTCAAAATTTATTTTGCATAAGAGTATATATATTATTATTCCATTTATTTGAACATTAATTCAAAAAACAGTAAGGTGGATCAATATTGTGGGAGCCCAAAATATATTGATTTCATACTAGCTATATAAACCAGTACTATTCCTCTATAAATATACAACTTCAACGACTCCTATAATATTGAAATGATACAGCTGTGTTTGTATATGGAACTTGACTACTAAGTCCCTTAAATTGAACTCAAACATACGAACAGAACAGTACTCAGCTGACCAAATCAAAAATGAGGATATATGCTAGGTTAGATTAGGTTGAAGTTGCGGCCTTGTACCCCAAAAAACCGACTTGAGCACAAATAAAGACCCGTTGTGGTACCACAGGATTGGAGTGTGTTCATAAATAGACAAAAGGTCAGCCAATGCCGAAAGGCAATGAGTACTCTATTGCGTAAAGCTGACATGAGTACAATGAGTACTATATTGCGTAACAGTTCTATGAAGTAGGCTAAGTCTATAATTTAGCAGGATGACAATGACTTGTCAAATTTTAGTCAAAATTTGGTAATAATCACTAAAATATACATAATAATAATATTTTTTTTCGTAACACAGAATATGGGTCAGATGTTAGCATGAACTATTGCCAATAGTCGCAGTATTCCGTTCTATTGGAAGATTAAAACTCCGTCGTTTTTAAATAAAAATTTATTTGGGACAAAACAATTTCTTTTTTAATTTTTTTACAACATTTACAGCATTTTATGTAAACTAAGAGACAATCAATTCCTACAACTTACCGCTATAAGACTGCTGCTAACAGCTGCTTTTCCGCTCTTTGAATTAGGATTGAAGTGTTCAATCACCTCCCAGTTGGATTTTTTTGGTGTTGAAGGCTGCTGAGATGACATCTGTTGCGTTGTATGTGACTGGTGACCAGGGACTTGCAACTCTAAACATGGCTGTGGAGAACTGGCTTGCTTTAGTGATGCTGAGCGACTAAAAAGTTTCTGCTTTTTTGTCTCCTGATAAAAATTGTAGAAAGATTTATAAAAATAGTAAGTAAATGTCAATATGCAGATATAAAAAAAATACCAACAAATATATATAATGCCTAATAATAACAGCTGCCTTATTTTAAAGTGGCATAAAGGTTTGAGATAACTTATTGGTCCAGAATTCAAGATAAAAACAAAATGATATGTGATCGAAACATATCAATATTTTATTAAAAAATTTTTCGATTCCTTGTACTTGCAGTTTCAAAAATAATTATTTACGAATAGTTAAATACAAGAATTATTTCCAAGACCACTAATGTTGGGTATTTGGCAATACTCGAAACAACTGTATGGTCAGCCAAAAATTCAATTAATGAAAATAATATAAAAAATAAAATTTTTGTTGTTGTAGTTCATTACTGTTCGAAAAAAACCGCTTCAATAAAAAATTTTGTAAACGAAAAAAACGAAAAAAACAAAATGATATGTTGATACAAAATATTTAAAAAAGAGAGCACTTTAATACAAAATATAAAAAAAAAGACAAAATGATACACTGAAGCAAGGAATCATTCATCATCTCTATATTAGTTTAATGCACAATATTCCCCAAAATTTTTGGCTAACCCTACAGCTGTTTCGAGTATTGCCAAATATCCATAATCATTGGTCTACTTTTTGAAATTATATACTACATGTAATAATTCAAAAATAATTTTTTGAGACTTCAAGTACTAGGGGTTGAACTCATGCCCTGCCAAATTTAAAGCTCAGAGTCACTGTTTATTAGCCAACTGACTCAAAACCGTACTTAGCTCGTACGAAAGTTACACTAAAACAAAAAAGGAAGGGCCTGTTCAGCGTATTCAACATATGTCACAAGTTTATATAAGTTTCTTTCGTATTATAAAAATTCATTGGTTCACACAAACACATAATGGAGTAAGAGGAATGAGAAATATTAAATAAATTAATTTATAAAGAGTTTTTTTGAACAGTAGTGAAATACAGCAACAAAAATTTTTTTTATATTATTTTAATTAATTGAATTTTTGGCTGACCATACAGCTGTTTCGAGTATTGCCAAATACCCATCATCAGTGGTCTTGGAAGTAATTCTTGTATTTAATTATTCGTAAATAATTATTTTTTGAGACTGCAAGTACCAGGAATCGAACTCGGTTCCTGCCAAATGTGAAGCTCAGAATCAGCGTACCTTAACCAACTGATCCAAAGCCGTACTTGACTTTTTTTGTTCGCATATTTTTCTGGAGTTTTGTTACTATTACTATGAAAGTTTTTATGAACAATTTTACTTGCTGCGTTTATATTAGAACTAAATTAATTTAGTAAAAAATAAGTATAAATAAAATTTTTCTGTTGTTCTAATTAGAAATATTCTATCGATTCAAAGAACTAACTAAAATAACTGTCACAAAAATTAAACAAATCTTACAGATGGACTTAAAGCATATTTTAATCTTACGTGGCTTTAATACGTATTAAAGACATAACAATTATTTTCTATTGCTTAATTCCAAAAGGAAGAAGCTGTAGCTACCATTCTTTTCAGTTTCATTTTTCATATTATAACATAAGTACGTGGGTATATCTACAGAATACGCATATGTGTCACTGTACATTTTCCTCATAATAAATAAAACTGGAATGCATGAAATTTTGACGAATTAAAAACAAAAACATGTGAAACAAGCGACAAACGAAAATATAAAAAAGGACAGGACATAATTGCTTTATAAATGAAACAAAAATAACTTACATCCTTTGGATTGTTGCTCACATGTCGCGTGCCACGCAAGGATAAACGCTTAGACCATTCTTTCTTCTGACTCTCGGATGAGAGTGAACGAAATATATGTGCGGAGGATGAGGATGTTGACATTTTAGAATACTGAAAAGAAATTAATTGGAAAAAAAAGTTTTTAAAAACAATTTAAAATATAATTTCATTTAATTCATTTTAAATGCTGACAATAATTAGGGGAGAAAGCACGTTAATAAAAAACGAAAGCACAATGTATCCAATTAATGGTATACTTCTGTGTTCTTTTATAAAAGAATTAAAAATACATTACGAACGCAAAAAATATTATGTGAAGGAGTTCTTAAAACTGCGAATATATACGATTGAATAATAGCAATAATATATCTAAGAGTAGATTTTAATAACAATAATTAAAATATTTTTATAGCAAACTATGTTGTTTTCCATTTTTATATTTTTTTTTTGTGTTATTTTAGAAACTTCAATAATTGTGTGATTAGTATCATCTTTTCTAAATACTAATTATTTTTTTAATTATTTATTTTCGTTTTACTTTCACAACGTTATTTAACATATGCACCTTTCGAGAGCAACTACATAAACTATATAAGAAAGTTACTCATACGCAGTGTGTGACGTAAAAAAATCGCTTTTGTTTTTTTATTTCATTAATTTGATTATAAAATAATTAATTGCTGGATGTTAACGATAACAATTTCTTACTGCTATTTGTTTTCGTAATTTTAGATAATTTTTAAATCATTGTCTAAACTTATATATTTTACGATCATTATACAAATTTCATAATTAGGTTACTCATACGCAGTGGGTTGCGATATGCCAATGAAAAAAAATTTTATATCAAAATCATTTAATTATAAATTTAATTTATTGTCTGATTAATATTATTCTAAGTTTTTTCACTACTAATTGCTTTCCCAATTTTAGGTTATTGTTTCAAACAGAAAATTGTTCTCCCAAATCATTCCCTATAATTGTTCTAAATTAATTTTGGGCTAACACATAAAATAGATTTAAGTACTGTGTGGAAATAAATTCGATTACAGCTCTTAGTATTGCGAAAGCTTAGTAAGTATTGCGATTTTTATTGAAAGCAAACAATAGCAAAAACACAAATTTTATGTCCCTAATTGTGTCTATGTGCCACTTAAGTCAATGTGTGCCGAGCACGCAATTCGCAAAAAGGATGAACAGAAATACCACAAAAATATATGGCCTAAAAGCACGAATTTCAAAATATTTACTTGACTTTATACACTCCACTAAGAGTAAAATCGAAAAATAAATATTTTTTAGTACATCAAATATACGTCTGTATGTATCTAACATATGTATGTCTGTACAGCAAAAAAAAATAACAATTGTGTGCCACTTTAATGCTGAAGATACAAACAATTTCATTCATATGCCACATAATTTTACGTACATGTGTCAGCTAAATTTGGACAAAGGCACAATTTGTGGCATCAGTAATACAACATAACATATCGATTCCCCTACCAACGTTCGACATAAATATGTCAGAAGCAGCAAAAATAAACAAATTGGTTTTGTGTTTCAGTAAAACAAACAATACAAATCGAAATTGAAAATCCCCATCGAAATCGGTTTCCTAATAGCACTTCTACCACTTAACTCACCTTTGGCTGGCGTTATGGAACACAGCGTTATGCTGAGCTATGACAAAATATAGTGAAGCACATTCGATTTGATATTTGTTGCCAAAAATTTCAAAATCAAATCTTACATTTACTCAAAATGCGGGGAGTATCAAAATCAGTCCATTTCGGTCGAAATGAAATAATGTGGGAGTCAATTTTTATCTGAGTGCAGCTAAACCTGTGCAGATAGAGCAAAAGCAATAAAAGTATTTTTGGTGTATCGATAAAATGAAAAAAAAAATAACTGTTTGGTCAGATGTCAACATAAACTACCCATTATGTACATTTATAATGGTTAAAATAAGACTCAGTATTATTTTTGGCAAAATTATTGTATATTATTTTGTATTAGTTATATAGATAAATGAAAGCTTGTTTTCTATTTTTACTGCAATTTATTTTTATTCTTTTATGTATAAATAAAAGAAGGTATTTTTATTTTTACATATCTAAACAAAAAATATTTTCTATAGATATTACTTTTTATTTCTTATTCTTGCATGAATAATGGCATTTTTTTTAATTTTTTTTTTTACTAATCACTTTTTATTTTTATATTTTTTAACAATTTTTCTTGTTATTCGGATTCCATTCTTTTACATACAAATAATTTTATTTTATTCTTATCGCTATGTTCTCTATATATATCTGTTTATTTTTGTTTCTATTACTTAGTTTCTATTCTTATATATTTCTTCAACTATAATTGCTATTCTGATTCTATTCTTATACATACAAATAATTTTTTTTTATTCTTAGTACTATACGCTCCTTATTTATTTTTATCCGACATTATTGCTAATCCGATTCTATTCGTACACATATGAATAATTTTATATTTTATTTTTATTATATTCATTTATTTTTTCTATACTGATAAATGAAAATTTTATTGCTTTTATTTTTGACATTCATTTTCTAGAATTATATATATAAGAATGTGTATATAAAAACTTTATATTTTATATCTCTTGCTAGTCTCATTGCATTCTTATATGCAGAAATTAAAACCTTTCATTTAATATCTCTTTATTATCCATTCTTATACTGTACATATAAAATTTTCTCTTTTGTTAATGGTATTCGGTTTCTATTCTTTTATGTATGAATCAGTTTTTGTTTTCATTTTTATTGCTTCTCAGATTCCATTTTTATATTCATAAATGCACTTACTTCTATATTTCTATAGCCATTTGTTTCCTATTCGTTAACGGATAAATGAAACCTTTATTTATATTCTTATTACTATTGGTTTTTAATTCACAGATAGATAATATTAGCTTTTTTTCTGTTTGTTTAACTATTAGTTTTCTTTTCTTAAATGTTTAAATTAAAATTTTTTATTATTTACTTTATTTTATTCTTATACAATAAATTAATTTTTTGCTAATCTTTTTGATATGCAAGTTCTATTCCTAAATGCATAAATAAAGTTTTTTTCTATTTTAGATATTCGTTTTCTATTCTTGTTTAGATAAATTATCACTTTCTATTCTATTGTTATATTGTTATGATCTATTGTTATATATAAAACATAACTATAGAAACATTTTTTTCTTTTATTACTACTTGATATTTCTATTCTATTTATACTAAATGTTCACCATCTTTTACACCTATTGCTATTCACTTTCTATTCGTATATGCATGGGTGCAAATGAAATTTATACTTGTTCTTATGACTATTTATTTTTGACATATAAATGCGATTTTTTTCTGTATAATTTTTATTAAATTTCTATTCCAAAAAATATAAACAAAATTTTTGCTTTATTTTTAGTGCTGCTAATTTTCTATTCTTAAATAAAATTCTTTTTATATTCTTATTGATAATTATGACATATTCATATATGTTATGTATTATAAATCTTCTATTTTCAGTTGATATTGTTGTTCATTTCCTATTCTTAAAATCAGAAACAAAATGTTTTTCTAATCTTATTGCTATTTATTTCCTATTCGTATAATTAATTAACTTTGTATTAATCGTTAATTATTAATAATAAAATAGAATAATTATTCAATAGAAGAAGTATCCTTAAATGCAACACAATAAATCAATCATGGTCGCAGTGTCCAGCTCTCTGTAAGCCAATATATATATATATACATATATGTATTCTAACCTTAAATAAATGCCTTTAATAAAAGAATTTTCTATGTGAACGTTATAGTATACGACTATACAACTACAAAACAATAAACTTTTTGTACTTCAAACTTTCAAATAAATAAACAAAACATTTTTTAACTATTTTGACAACGAAATGTTGTACTTCCAATGAAACCCATTGATGCATGATATTTCGGTGTAGTGTAAAAGCAAAACAACGCTGAATGCAGCAAATTGTTGTAAAATGCCTTCAACTTTTTGAGATGCTTTTTTACTATTTCAACAGCTGAAATTTAGATTTAGTGCACACACTAAACCACAAATACTGAACGTATTTTCACAATATAAAAGTATCTACCAACAAAAAAAATCCAAAAGAAAACAAATCCATTTTATTTCCTAGACAAATTTTAACTTTCACAACTTCAATGCTCTGTCCTTGAACTTTACACAATAGAAAATCAATGCATTATCCTCGTGTATATTTTGTTCATTACGAGGCATATCAGTTTCTCTTCAATAGCGAGAATGCTACACCGTGTGATTGTTTATATTTTCCATCAAAAAACTGACAGGAATGCAATGCTTGAACCAATAATTGGTAAAATTATCGCAATGGTTTCCTTCGGTTGTGCCATAAAAAACAATGACCAAAAAGTTGTGTAAGTTCGTGCGAAACAAAGCTAATTACAGCCCCAAACAGGTGATCACAATGGCGAGAGTCTAGACAAGATACTTAGGTGCTTCATTTTAGTTGTCCTTCAATTTTGTGTGAAATACTGCAAACGCGTGCAGAATATTTAATTATGCTTTCATCTCAGCAGAATTACATCTCTTGAGATGTGCAGGAAGGTACAAAAAAAAATATACAAAGGACCTTTTTTGTGCTTAAGTGGAAGATGAAATAAATGTTGGTAAAACCAAAAACTCACTAACATATTACTGAAACGATACTTTTTTCTTCACAGGTAGTGACGGATCAAAGTATTTTAGAGTACATGAACTTATTAGATGTTGGACACCCATAACTTAGCTTTTAAGATTTTTCTTCAATCAACTTTAAAACTTTTGAATCTTTGAAATGATTTTAAGTTGGTTTGGAGTGTAGAATTTAGAATTTACTGCATTAATTGGTAACTCATTCTAGATAAGAAAATAATTTATAAAATATTATTGAATGCAAGTAATTAATTCAATAAAAAATAGTGTAGAAGAAGAGTGATTACATATATATAGTACAATTAAATCATCCATTCTTCTTCATCTTCATTCCATTGCGTTCCCAGGGGAACATTGGGCAACAAAGTGCTTACAGTTGTACCTAACGAAGA